TTGTAAACAGGCTTTCCCCACCTAAGGGGCATGTAGCTCTCACATAATCTCCATGCCCTCCTCTTCCACAGGCTCAGGATGTATACAAAGTAAGCACCCTGGCTTCCTGCTGAGTCACTTAGCCAAACTCTAGACTCCCCAAGTTGACACAATGTTTCAACCATAACAAGTGGCTTCCCTTCTGAGTCCCAGCCACTCCTCATGCAGGGCTCTACAGAAGTGCCACCAGAGCTTGCAGCATGAGCATCTAGGGATGGGTGGGGAGAGTGAGTCTTTTTTTTTTTTAAATAGATGTTGGCTTGGAGAGTCTGATTCAAAATTCTGAAGTAGAGCCCAAGAGTCTGGATAACCAGCCCTCACCTGCAAGGTGATACTTATACCACAATTTTGAGAACCTCTGGCTTACTCCCTGTACAGGCAGTGCTGACTTCCATCACCTTGTGGGATGGTCTGATAATACAGGTAGATTGGACTTTCACACCTGAGCCTGTGACAGGAAAGAGAAGGAAGAAACGTTCTACTACCTTCTGTACCCATCTCCACCTCACATTCACTGACCCTGACTGAAGAGTCCACTGCAGGGAGAAGAACCTGACTGAGGAACACAGCACTGCAAAAGGGAGTTCAAGTTAAAGATGCTGGGAGACTTTCCTCAGTGCTCAGCCTCCTTCTCCGGAGATAACCCCAGCGAGGTCACTTATTAACTAGTCCATTCTACTGGGCATTGACGTAATCTACAGCTCCAGGGTGAATCAGCAGACAGGTAGTTTTCTTGAAATGTTTCAAAAGAATCCAGACAGCCAGGTGTGGTGGCACATGCCTGTAATCCCAGCACTCAGGAGGCTGAGGCAGGAGGATCCCTGCAAGTTTGAGACCAGCCTGGGCTACAAAGTGAGCACAAGGCCAGCCTGCACTGCATAGTGAGACCCTGTCTCAAAACATAATAATAATCCAGACAGAGAATTTTGTACCAGGCTCTGCTCCCACACCCAACTGCCCTATCCTGAAGCTCACCACACATAGAAGTGTCTAATGAATATGCTCTTGTAACAAAGCTTATGGGATCTTACAGAATTGGGAACAGATACCTGCCATGAGGGATGGACACTGAAAACAAAAGAACCAGTCTGAGCTATCTGATAACTCAGAAGCAACTTAATACCAGATAATTCTAGCTATAACCATGGAAAGGTGGAGAATAATCTGGATAATTATGTTATTCTCCAAGTTTGATTGACCCACAGGCCTTGTTTAGGATTCTTTTGGGGTGTGACTTCCCAAGAGAATGGAAGGGATCCCCAACACTTCTCCCACTGCCCAGGTCCCATTCAGTCCCAGGGCGATCCCACCATTGCCATACTGGTACTGTGAAAGATGGAGAGTGAGCTGAAGAGAAGGAATAAACAGAAGAAAGGAAGAGTGGGATGAGGTGGTGAGGGATGAGAAAGACAGCAGGCCAGAAGACATCCCAGAGACATTTCCACCTTTTTGATTGCTTTAAAAATTTTTAAATGCCTAGGTTTTTATCTTGCTTCACCCCAACTAAAGCTGTACCAAATCTACCAAAGTGCTGTACAGACATAAAACAGTTTCTGAGACACTTTTCCATACTTAATTTAAAATGTATATATCATTGGGGTAAGTGTTTACGTAAGTCCCATTTTGCTATCATGGCTGTGATTTTCCACGATCTTACCCGGTTTGCTTTTGTACTTTTGCAAATTTTCCTTGTCATCATAGACCAAATGCCCAATTAAGCAACATCCTACAACAGAAATAATCAAGCAACTGACCTGGAATTGAGGCTGTGCTCTCACAGTTCCAAATCAAGAGGAGAAAGCCCACCAGCAACAGGATAGGCATGGCAGCAACGGGCATGACTTCAGGCACCATGCTGGTGATGTTCGAGTGCATTGGGTTCAGCATTTCCAAAATCATGCTGCGCTGCCGGGCGTCAGAGACAGCTATTAATGTTCTGTGGAAATCAAGAGGCAGAAAAGTGAGACAGTCCCCTAGCAGGTTTTTCTATGGCTCCTGTTGCCTCTGAGGATGCTGCAGGGGAGATCACACTTTGTTTTATAATACGATCAGGCAAAACAAATTTGTAGCTACAAGTCAAAACAAGCAAGCCCCAAACATCTTTTGGCTTGAAGTGCAGCCCTCCTGACCTTGGTAGTCTCAGGTTCTCTTAGACACGTGATGTGATAGAACTTTATCATTTTGCCCTTGAGAGGGTAGAGTGACGTGAGTTCGCAATTGAGAGCTGGATCCCTTACCAAAATAAAAGAAAATGAAGCTTACACCAGCGGAGAAATCATTCTGTGGCTTTATCAGCTGGTTTGGTATAGGCAATCTTTCCTTGAAGGCAAATCAATTAAAAAACAAAATCAGCAAATTACAAATCACCTTCCTTGATCAAAATTGCTCTCCCAATAGTCCTTCCTACACACCTCGTGGACACTGGTGGATGCTCTCAGAGTGTGCCATTGAGTTGTCTGTGGAATTCAGACAGGTTCGTGGAATATGACAGGTTTCTTGGGGGCCTTTACAGAGACCTACAATTTCTCACGCCGTGGGCTGGCTTGAGCAGTCTCCATCAGGGTTAACATCAGAAGTAGAGGGAGGAAAATAGAAAGGAAGTAAGGGAAAGGAGGGCAGGAAGAAAAGGAACTGGAGAGAGGCAGATAGAAAGGACAGGCAGATGACAGCAGCAACAGAGTCAGGGGCCACCTAGCCGCCTCGCCCCAAGATCAGCCAACTTCCTGAGCAAGACAGTCCCTGTGCAGCTTGCTAGTTCTGCTGTTTCTCCACAACAGTGTGCTGTTGAGTCTGTCTTTTCAGCCAGGTTTTACAAATTTACACTATCAGAAGAAAGTTTCAGGGATGGTAGTTGGAAGAATCCTAGGCTGAATAAGTTTGTACAGCAAAGAACCCCTATTTCTAGTGACACCTAACATGCCCTGAGCTTTGCCTTTTCTTAGAAAGTGCTCAAATATGGGGGACTTGCTCTGACTCTGAAACAGACTTTAGATGGGTTTTACCTAGCAATAAAAATCATATGTCCATAGCCAGGGCTTTTCATTGGATGTCAGGTCTCTGCCAGTTCCCTGATGTGTTGCATGAAATGTAGCTGCTTGTGCACTTGGGAGGAAGAGAGGCTAGAATTATCATCAGATTCCTACGGGGTGTTTAATTATATCTCTCTGATCTCTATGAGATTGTCAATGTCCAAAACCAATTTTTTGCAGCTAATAGCAACTTCACATTATAGATGAATTGATTCCATTGCTTCTTCCTTTTGTTAGTTCCTTCTCTTATTTACCATGTAAATAACCATTGAGCTCCCTGTGTATATGGGTGAAACTTGAGACCAGTGTAAAAAGTACAAGTGAGGAAAATGATTGCAATAAAAAGGAGGAAGGCATCTCGGAGGAAGAGATGCCAGCAGAAAACTTCACATGAAAGGAACTCCCAGCCATGTTTCAGAACATGGAAACTGCAAAGTTTAAGATCTTAGGAGCTGATGGCAGTTTAAAAGAGTAAGGCAATTTACCAGGGCAGAGCAAAGATGCTTCCTCAGCATAAATAAATGGAAGTAAGAAGTATGTAACCACTCTTAATAATGCGTAGTTAACAAAGAAAGAAAACCAAGACTTCACTCTTTCTAATGTGAATTACTATGCTCCAAAATGTTTGTCTTGCTATTTTGATTCTCTATATATTTATAAAGTTACTATTGAAGAGCCTTTAATGATTTCACAAAAACTTTAAAAGTATTGGAATGATTGTAATTTTCTCTCGTTTTTAAGATGGCTTTGCACAGTTTCAGCTTGTGTGGCCATTATTCAGTGGTGCAGTATCATGCAAAGGGCAGACTGTGTGTGTCTAAATGTTTAATAGGACTAAGAATCCTGACTCATCTTCCTCAAGAATATACCATGAAGACACCCCATGAGAGTACCACTTATTTATTTATTTGTTTATTCATTCATTCATTCATTCATTCATCTGGGTACCGGGAATTGAACTCAGGACCTCATGCTTGCCAGGCAGGCACTGCACCACTGAGCTACATCCCCTGCTTGAGAGCACCATTTAAAGACCCAAGAGCATGCGACTATTTCTAACACCTTTAAAACATATGGTGTCAGACTGAGAGAGAAATTAAGGAAACCATACCTTTTACAATAGCATCCAAGAAATTGAAATATTTAAGAATCAATCTAACAAAAGAAGTAAAAGATCTATTCAATGAAAACTACAGTACTCTGAAAAAAAAGATCAAAGAGGATTTCAGTAAATGGAAAAATATTCCTTGCTCATGGATAGGAAGAACCAACATTGTGAAAATGGCCATACTCCCAAAATTGATGTACAGATTCAATGCAATTCCCATCAAACTACCATTAGCATACCTCATAGGTCTAGAGAAAACATGCCTTAAATTCATCTGGAGCCAGAAGAGACCCAGAATAGCAAAAGCAATCCTGGGCAACAAGGACAGGTCAGGTGGAATCACAATCCCTGACTTGAAATTATACTACAAAGCTACTGTAATAAAATCAACATGGTACTGGCTAAAAAACAGACCTGAAGATCAATGGAACAGACTGGAAGAAACAGCCACAACCAAAAACACACTCAGCCACCTCATCTTTGATAAAGGGGCCAAACAAACTTACTGGAAGAACAATAGCCTCTTTAATAAATGGTGCTGGAAAAACTGGCTTGCCACCTGCCAAAGACTGAAAATAGACCCAAGTCTATCACCATGCACCAAATTCTAGTCAAAATGGATCACAGATCTCAATATTAAAACAGAAACATTAAATCTATTGGAAGAGAAAGTAGGTAAAAACTTTGAAGACATAGAGGTAGGCAGAAAGTTCATGAACAAAAACCAAATTGCACATGAAGCACCTGAAAAAATCAACAGCTGGGATCTCATCCTACTGAAAAGTTTCTGCACATCTAATGAAATCATCAGCAGGGTAAAAAGAAAATCCACAAATTGGGAAAAAAGTTTAGCTGACTGTCCCTCAGACAGAGGTCTTTTATCTAGAACATATAAAGAATTAAAAGATATCAACCCCCCCAAATTCAAAGACCCAATCCAAAAATGGGCAGCTGAGCTGAATCCACACTTCTCAGAAAAAAAATACAAATGGCAAATAAATACATGAGAAAGTGTTCAACATCATCAGTCATTTGAGAAATGCAAATTAAAACAACATTGAGATTCCATCTCACCCCAGTAAGAATGGCTAGCATTAAGAAATCAACCAAGAACAAATGCTGGCAAGGCTGTGGAGAAATAGGAACTTTTCTCCACTGCTGGTGGGAATGCAGACTGGTGAAGCCACTGTGGAAATCAGTTTGGAGACTTCTCAGCAAACTAGATGTAGAGGTCCCATTCAACCCAGCTACTCCTCTTCTGAGTATTTTCCCAGAAGATCTGAAAACATCATATCACAGTGATATATGTGCATCTATGTTCATAGCAGCGCAATTTGCAATTGTTAAACTGTGGAAGCAACCCAAGTGTCCACCCACTGAGGATTGGATAAAAAAATTGTGGTACTTTTATATAATGGAATATTACTCAGCTATAAAGAAAGATAAACTTGAGGCTTTTATAGGTAAATGGTCACAACTAGAGACCCAACTCATAAGTGAAATAAACCAGATGTACATGTGTAAGCATCATATTGTCTCACTAGTGTAAGACCTGAAAGAGTAAATAAAAACTAGGAGGTATGATAGACATTGTGAAATGAAAGGAAAATGCTCAAAAATAAAGAGCAACTGGGGTGTGAGAAAAGAGAAGGGAAAGAAAAGGAAATTATGTATGTATGTATATACAGGATAGCTAACATAGTTGTACTACTGTCTTCTATTGCTCTACAGAAAGGAACAGTCAATGATTACTTGTTTGATCAGTCTTGTATGTCTCTATTTGTTTTCTTGAGAAACCACTTTGAAGATATCAGTAAGTAATACAACAACCATTGTTAATTTCCTACAACTTTGTCTGTAACTCTGTTTTGTTTGTATTGTTCTTATGCTATTTTGTAAATGGATGTCTTTTTGTTAATATGTTTTCCTTCTTTTATTTCTTAAAATAAAAAAAATATGGTGTCCGTCAGACATTGCTCTAGGAAATTACTGATCTTAAGTCCTTCATCCTCACCACAAGCCTGTGAGCTATCTGCTCATTTTACATGTGAAAAAAAATGGAGACCTGGGGATGTTAGGTAGCCTGCCCTAGAGCACCCAGCATCACTCAGTGCCCTGCCCAGCTGAGTGTTGATAAATGCAGCACCGAGCTCAGAGTCCTCAGTCAGTGTCAGGGCACAGCCTATGGGGAGTAGCCCAGCTTATGTGTCCCAAAGCCATAGTGCAGTAGGGACGCCCACATACCCTAGTGCAGCCCCTGCAGGGAGCAGAGGCTGAACCTGGGCTTCCAGAAGTGCTGCCTTCCCTGGCTACACCATCGTGCACCCTACCTAATACATGCGCCTGAATGGTTTAGCAGGGAGACCATGTAGGCACCCTGAGTCTCAGGGCAAGATGCTGTCCTCTCCAGCATTCCTGGGTGGTCCGTCTTTCAGACTTCTGTTTCTGGAGACATGCTTCACAGCTACCTTGGGTGTCCTCTGTTACATCCCTTGCTTTGGTTTCCCCCAGGAGGCTGACTCTTAGGGATTCCACCAAAAGCAAGACGGACGTGGCTTTGGCCTCCTGGAGCAGACACAGTCTTAGGGAGGTATCAGCCCTTACGGAAGGGTTTTCCAAGTCAGTGAGAGCTTCCTTGTGGCTGGAGAACGCCCCTTCCAAGTCAGTGAGAGCTTCCTTGTGGCTGGAGAACGCTCTTCCCAGGAAGTGAGGGGCTGCTGAGTGATACTGAGTGCGGCAGGGGGCTGAGGAGCATGAGCAGAAGAAGCCAAAGGAAACTTCAGTAAGGAGCAGAGATGG